CTATTTTAATCGCAAAAAAACTTCTTTACAACTTTACTTAAAGCTTGAAAAGATGTTTACTTAGTAAAAAAAAGGGTTTTCTTTGGAAAACTCCAGATTTCAAAAAAGCAAAATTTATAGTAAACATATTCACACTTTTTACTATGTTTTGTCACTAGTTCTTAGACAGATCACAAATTAAACATATTTATATATTGTATTTTTTATTTTTTAAATTTATTTCTAGTTGTGCTATTCATCTCTGTTAATTTTGATAAATGAATATATTAGTTGCAAATTGCTAGTAATTCCATCTTTGCTAATTTTTAGATAAATGAGTTTTAGTAATAACCTTTAGAACTAAAAAATTTTTGCTTGCCCAAATGGCATCTGCATCCATTTTCTTATCAGCCTCAAAAACAGTGACACTCTATTTATCTTTTTTATCAATAATAGCCCAATCTAATGATAGAGGCCATCTGTCATTCTTAATTCTAGGATGAACAATAATGCACTTTATTTTAGTATAGATATTTTCAGGCAGTGTATAAAATCTATGTGCATAATGTGCTCATAAGCACATGTTTTTTAAAGTTTTTACATGTGTTTGGCTAGAAATATGTACGAAATTCACAAGATTTTTAGCCACATAGTGCACAAAAGTTATTAATAAAATCTTAACTATGTGTATATAGAGCACATTGTACACGCAGTCTATTTATATATATATAAATTAAATAGATACAGTACACCCTCATTATAACGTAATAATTGGGCTGAGGAATTCTGTCTGTTATAATGAATATTTATTATAGCGTTATATAGTATAATAATAAAAATTTTAAATTGTTCTAGAGAATTACTCTGTTATAATAAGGTATCTGCTATATCAGAGTTTGTTATAATGAGAGTGAACTCTATTTATATAAATGTTTTATAGTATTATAAAAATTTATAGTGCACTAATTTTTAAAATTATTCACATACAATGTACTCATTGGGCACATGTTTTTGAAGTAAGATTTTATATACTGTCTTCAGGTATGGCTTTTATAAGCATTAGACAAATAATCAGATCAGGTTTATATTTCACAAAAGCAGTTCGCATCGTGTCTTCTAAATCAGTAGTTTGGAATATTACTATATATTCAAGATGAAGCAATTCTTTATTTATTCATTGAGTAATACTATTATAGACAGAAGAGAGCACTAAAAGGTTTAACTTTTTCTTATATTCTTTTTTTCTACCTTAATTTTTTCAACTAAATAGATTTGTCTTATTATTTGCAATAGGTTCAAAGGTAGTAATCCATGTTGCAAAATACTGTATTAAAAGCTAGAGATGCAACTGTAAGTAAGCCAACTCTTGTTGGTACTGGAGTATAATATTTATATATTTTATATACTGAATAGTCAACATCACCTATAATATTTAAATTTCCATTAATATTTTAAGGTAATCTATTAATTTCAGCATCAATCACAATAACACCTGGTTTAACAACTTCATCATTAACATGAAGCACTTTTCCAATTGCAACAATTAAAATATCTGCACTCTTAGTAATTGTTTTTATATTTTACGTGTGTATATCATAAATTAATACTATAGTATTATATGGTGGTCTCATTAATATACAAGCAAGTAGTTGTCTTACAAGTTGACCCTTTTCTATAATTAAAATATACTTATCCTTAGTTGAAATATTATAATAATCAAAAATACTACAAATACCAAGTGGAGTAGCAGGCTTTATGCCTTTATTCAAATTAAACAAATTACTCACAGAATCTATAGTTAATCTATCAATATCTTTATAAATAGGTATTGTGTTTAAAATATTACTTTTATTAACTGAAAAACTAGATGAAAATGGCAATTGTAACATGATACCAGTCAGTGATGTACATGGACACATGTTCAAATGAAAATCATTGTCCATGGACGTCCATGGACAATATTCAATGTCCATGGCCACATGATCATCCGCATCATGTAATGTACATGGACAAATATCCATGGACAATCCATGGACAATGTCCAATGTCCAAGCACATCACACCCCAATAAAAATAAAAAATTTTAAAACTTTGAGCAAAGATATCTAGATAACCACCTGACCAAATTCGATAGAATTTTTTTTATCTAGATTCTATGTATCTGTATATTCAAATAAAAAAATTTAATCGAATTTAGTCAGGTGGTTGTCAAGATATATTCACTCAAAGTTAAAAAAAATTGGCACAGCTTTTTATTTTGATAGATATTTTTGATTTTTCTCTAACTTTGAATGAAGATATCTAGACAACCACTTAACCAGATTTGATGAAAATTTCTTTATTCGAATTCTACGAATCCATAGAATTCAAATAAAAAAAGCTTCATCGAATTTGATCAAGTGATTGTTGAGATATCTTTGCTCAAAGTTAGAGAAAAATCAAAAATGCCCATCAAAATAAAAAGCTGCGCCAAATTTTTTTTTAACTTTGAGCGAAGATATCTCGATAACCACCTGGTCAAATTCGGTATTATTATTATTATTTTTGAATTCTATGTATCTATGGAATTCAAATAAAAAACTTTTCATCGAAATTAGTCAGGTGGTAGTTGAGATGTCTTCACTCAAAGTTAGAGGAAAATCAAAACGCCTACCCTGCGCCAAATTTTTTTTTAACTTGAAGATATCTCGACAACCACCTAACCAAATTTGATGTAATTTTTTTTATTTGAATTCTATGAATCCATGGAATTCAAATAAAAAAAGCTTTATCGAATTTGATCAAGTGATTGTTGAGATATCTTCGCTCAAAGTTAGAGAAAAATCAAAACCGCTATCAAAATAAAAGCTGCACCAATTTTTTTTTTAACTTTGAGCGAATATATCTCGACAACTACCTGACTAAATTCTATATAGATATATAGAATTCAAATATAAAATTCTATCGAATTTGGTCGGGTGGCTATCTAGACATCTTCGCTTAAAATTAGAAGATCAAACCGCCTATCAAAACAAAAGCTGCGCCAAATTTTTTTAACTTTGAGCGAAGATATCTCGACAACCACCTGACCAAATTCGATGAATTTTTTTTTATTTGAATTGAGTTGATTATAGAATTCAAATAAAAAATTTTATCGAAATTGATCAGGTGGTTATCGAGATATCTTCGCTCAAAGTTAGAAAAAATTAAAGCACCTATCAAAATAAAGTTGCGTCAAATTTTTTTAAACTTTGAGAAGATATCTCGGTAATCACCTGATCAAATTTGATAAAAAATTTTTTATTTTAATTCTATGGATTCATAGAGTTCAAATAAAAAAGTTTCAACAAATTTGACCAGGTGATTGTCAAGATATCTTCGCTCAAATGTTTGAAATTTTTATTTTTACTGGGGTGAATACCAAATGTGGGTGGTACTAATTTTCTCCACACTTCAGATTGGTTCTACTAATTATTCACATATCGAAGTATCTATATTATTAATCAATTTTATGTGCTCTGATAGTGAAGTATGGGGAGAAATTAGTAAACCTGAATATCAGCTCTCTAAAAATATCCTATTAAAATTAGTATAATGTATAGCTTCATAAATACTGTTTTTCTAAACATTTTCATTTATAATTCTAGATCTGAGATGCAAGATTGTTAATGCATTAATCTTACAACTGTAAAAGATAGTATAAGTATTAAGTTTGATGTGAATCAAGTGATATATTACAGCATAAAGTAGTTTTAATATAGATTTTGAAACTTGAATTTAAAAACATTTGAAGTTTTTTATTATTCTGCAGTCAGACCTCTCTAAGTGCATACCCTCTCTAATGCATACTCAAGTGCTGGCCTAAATATATACTTGACTTCTGTAAATGCATTTTTTTCTTGTTATTCTCTAAATGCACATTATTAAAGTGTGGTCCCAAAGGCGTGCACTTAGAGAGATCTGATTATACACATACTCATGTCAATATCCATGCCCACATGATTATCAGTGGCCAATGATATACGTCAATAAAATTGTTAGACATGGACAAATATCCAAAATGTCCAAGCACGTTATTGGCTGATCAGCAATAATTCCGACTGGCTAAAATTAAACAATACTGCAATGTGGTTAGTATAAAATACAAGTCTCGCACAAGATAAAAACCTGTAATAGATAAAATCTTATTCCGCTTGTTTCTATATTTGTATAAGTCTTTAAAGCTACCAATATTACGTAACAGGTAAGTACATATGTACGTACGTACGTATGTACATATGTACATATGCATGTATTATTATCTTTATTTTATCACTAACAATAAAGCCTCAAAAAGAAATAGTGCAGTTATTTCATTCTAAAGATAGAGCTCTTGACACAATAATATTAGGAATGTCAAAGTCATTTCTAATAAAGACGCTATCTTAAATATTTACCTGTATGCCTCTAAAATATAAAGTTAGACCTTTCTAAATGCGCTCTATAGAGGCACTTTTATCAATATGCATTTTTAAGGAACAATAAGAAGTGCACTTACAAAGGTCACGTATATATCTGGACAAGAATTTGAGAGTGCATATAAAGAAGTTGCACATTTAGGAGGGCGCATTTGGAGAGGTTTCATTTAACAGCTTTTTTTTTTTGTTATTTTCTTAAAAATTTTCTCACCATTCTTTTTTTTTCTCTATGCATTAATAAAGTTTTGCTGAATTGTAAATGTACACCTAACTTCAAAAGAAAATCAAACAATTATAAGCAGTCGAAGTTATTGTTGATTCTTTTTTCTTTGAATTTAGGCGTATGCTGATAGCCTGATATGATTTTTAACAGCCACTTTTTTTTCATTTCAATGGTTGGCACTTTTAGTAAAGTCATCCAATACGCAATTTTTCTTAACTCAATACTAATATCTTGTTGATGATCACCCTTTTTTGTTTCAATAGTTTATATCTTTTTTTTTTTTGTATTTAAATAATCTGATATAGAATTTTTTTCTTAACTTAATACACGCTTTATTTTGCTAAAATTTAATCCAAGTAGTCATGCCACCTTTACCGCGTATTCTAAATAAATTTATCATCAAAACCAATGAAAAAATAAATAACCATAATACAAAAGTATATTGTAAACCGTGTATAGATCAATTAGGTGAAATAGAAGGTTCAAAACAACATTTTTCTAATAAAACAGACAGAATAATTTCACATTTCAAAAAATATACAAATTTTGTTGCGGAATCAACAGCCGAAGAAAGAGAAGAAATCTTTAAACTAGTTGATGTTCCAAAAAAGGTATATATAAGTTACATAGAGTGAAACCTTCATATGTTCAAGTGCTGGCCCAAATATATACTTGATTTCTATATGCATTTCTTCTTATTATTCTTTAAATGCACATTATTAAAGTGTAGTCTCAAGAGCATGCACTTAGAGAATATATATGACCTCTATAAATGTGCTTTTCTTATTGTTCTCTAAGTGCATGTTGTTAAAGTGTCCCAAGAGCGTGCACATATATTTATTCTTCTTACAAATTATATTTTATAGAAACCAGTGATATTATGTCTTCAAGTTCATATTCTTTGACTTCAAAAACTACCCGATTATCTTTTGAACAAACAGATAGCTATGTAGTTAGAACCTTGTCTCCACAAGAAATAAAAAGATTCCATCAACTCATTTTACGCCTTACAGTTTCTTGTGGATGAGCATTAAATTGGGTACATAAGCCTGAAGCAACTGAGTTATTTGAATTTCTTAATCCACTTCTTAAACTTCCTAATCGTCGAGTACTTGGAGGTCGAATTTTAAATAATGCAGTTGGTGAATTTGAAAAAGCGATGCTAACTATGTTGAAAGAAGATCAAGTTGGTATTACGTTAACCTTTGATAGCTGGATTAACGTTCGAAATGAGAATTTGTTAGAAGTAGTAATAATTACTTCAGAAGGTAGACCATACATGTGGAAAGCACTAAATATAAGTTTCGAACGTGAGACTCATATTGAAGTAATTAAAAAAATTAATGTAATGCTCACTGAATTAAATGCACAATCGGTCAAAGTTATTTCTATTATAACAGATAGTGCAGACGCGTACGCTGCTGCTTGGTATATAGTATTTATTTTTTATTTTAAGTAAATAAGAAAGATTAATAGTTTATTTTTTATAGACGCCGTTTGAGAGTTGCAGAAAGATCAATTGTGTTTTTGCCCTGTTATGCACATCAGATCAATTTGTGTATTGGCGAAATCTTCAAGGAATCAACTGATTTTAAGAAAACAATTGACCAGGCAATTCGTCTTGCTACATATTTTAGAAACCCAATTCATAAATTTTTTATAGCAAAATTGAAAGAAGAACAATATTCTGAATATAAGAAATATTTTACAATCAGTGCTTCTGGTGAAACCAGGTAGAACAGTTTTTATACTGTGTGCTTAAGCATTCTAAAATCACAAAAGGCTTTGCAGGTAAACTGATATATTTTAAGAGCTTAGGCCATTCAAAGTTGATTCTTCAGTTAATATCATCCCTCT